CAAGTTGCCCCCGGGAGTTTGGCTTCGTCACAGCCCAATGTGGTCTGCCTTGGGCTCCGTTACCCGCCTTTGCTCGGTTGCCGTTTTACGATGCTTTTGATTTTTATTTTCCCTGCGCTGAAAGACGTTTACTGCGTTTTAAAATAAGCTCGTTCAATTTCGAGAGGTATTTATGTCAGGGGGTTATGTTGTATTTGAAATTAAGAAGTTATTACGGTGCAAAAGCATTTTGAAAAAGGAAGTGATAAAAATCTTGACTTTAGGTTAAACTAGAAGTAATATTATTTTTTAAATTAAGTTATGCACCTAACTGAGACATGCACCTAACCCCCCTATGACCACTTTTTCCCAATTTTAAAGCAACTAAGGCCAAACAAACGACGAAAATAGCTAATCAAACCTAAACAAATGATAAACAATCGATTTCAATGGTTTTTAGCTCAAAACGACGAATGGGCGCTGCTGGTGTGAAGCTAGCAGCGCCCACTTTATTTTTCGTTTTTAAAAGCAACTAAGACCAAGCAAACGTCAAAAATAGCACAACAAACCTAAACAAACGATAAACAAACGATTTAGGTTATTTTGAAGTTTATTTTAAATATGGGCGCTGCCAGCTTCACATACCTAGCCCTAACCACTCCTAAACACATTAACCTTTTTTCATATACAATGGAAAATTTCTAGGTGTTAAGATGGAACTAAACAATTTACAACTCCATACAAGTCACTAGGAATCATGTTTATTCAAATCCAATGACTTTAAAACTTGCATAAAAACTGTTAATTAACTACTAATTGCCGCGTAAACCACACCATAGCCGTGTTGTAACCGTTCCATATTACCCATTTAATTAACATTTCCCTGTTAAAATACCGAGTTTGTATGCTAAACGCATCTAGCATAAAGACAAGTAATAGCAAAGCATTGTTTATATCGCCAGTTACGCGCTGCTGGCAGCAAACATAGGCGTTGAATAACATTACCGTCTTGTACTGGGAAACGTATCATTACCCTCAGTTTCCATCGTATTAGCGTCCATCGGAGGTTATTTAGGAGTTTACACAGTACACGACCCGAGGTGTGACCGTGATGCAGATACGCAGATTGCAATAACTATTGTAAAGTGAGTTAACACATTTAGTTAACACGTAACTCTAGCTCGGCTGTATTATGTAGGTCTGGACACCTAGTGATCGTAGGTACGCACTGCGACGTAGAGCCGATATCGCTCCTAACACGTACCAAGCAACACAGGCATACGTTAACACGTAACTCTAGCTCTGCTGTGTTATATAGGTCTGGACACCTAGTGATCGTAGGTACGCACTGCGACGTAGAGCCGATATCGCGCCTAGTTAACACGTACCAAGCAACACAGGCACACGTTAACACGTAACTCTAGCTCAGCTGTGTTATGTAGGTCTGGACACCTAGTGATCGTAGTTAGGTACGCACTGTGACGTAGAGCCGATATCGCTCCTAGTTAACACGTACCAAGCAACACTGGCACACGTTAACACGTATCTCTAGCTCGGCTGTGTTATGTAGGTCTGGACACCTAGTGATCGTAGTTAGGTGACGTAGAGCCTATATCGCTCCTAGTTAACACGTACCAAGCAACACAGGCACACGTTAACACGTAACTCTAGCTCTGCTGTGTTATGTAGGTCTGGACACCTAGTGATCGTAGTTAGGTACGCACTGCGACGTAGAGCCGATATCGCTCCTAGTTAACACGTACCAAGCAACACAGGCACACGTTAACACGTAACTCTAGCTCTGCTGTGTTATGTAGGTCTGGACGCCTAGTGATCGTAGTTAGGTACGCACTGCGACGTAGAGCCGTTATCGCTAGTAGTATACACGTACCAAGCAACACAGGCACACGTTAACACGTAACTCTAGCTCTGCTATGCTATGTAGGTCTGGACACCTAGGCGGGTTACACACCGGTGTCGCGGATATGATGTCGCCGATATTTCTGATGTCGCGGACATGATGTCTGCGACATGTAATAAAATGCAACCATGGGAGAAGGGACACGTGCTGGCGACATGAGAGGGAATCAGTTCAGTTTTTCACCAGTTTCAATAATGTCATCCTCTGAAGAAGATGGTGTGTTGTTGCTGCTGATGCTACGGAGACGAAGACGACGACGAAGAGTAAATGTGAGAAGAGAGTTTTGGACCCATCCTTATTGGAAGGATAATCAGTTGTCCAGTCAATTCGCATTGACTCTAGTATAATATAACCACCACTCGAGTAAACCCACCACTCAACTCACAAAACAAAACAGAAGTACCAAGACCAAGTGACAGCGCCGAAACTACTAGAAACGTATTCTGCGCATGCGCGGGCCCAAGAGACACGAGACATGTCTGTCCAAACACCGACCGGTTGGTTCGCTCGAGACACGCGTCTGCGACACGAGTCGCAGACAACGTGTCCGCGACACTGGTGTGTAAAGCTCCATAAGATAATATAGGTTGGTTTTCGAGGGGCATGTCGCGGACACGAAAAATATCGGCGACATCATATCCGCGACACCGGTGTGTAACCCGCCCTAGTGATCGTAGTTAGGTACGCACTGCGACGTAGAGCCGATATCGCGCCTAGTTAACACGTACCAAGCAACACAGGCACACGTTAACACGTAACTCTAGCTCTGCTGTGCTATGTAGGTCTGGACACCTAGTGATCGTAGTTAGGTACGCACTGCGACATAGAGCAGATATCGCGCCTATTTAACACGTACCAAGCAACACAGGCACACGTTAACACGTAACTCTAGCTCGGCTGTGTTATGTAGGTCTGGACACCTAGTGATTCTAGTTAGGTACGCACTGTGACGTAGAGCCTATATCGCTCCTAACACGTACCAAGCAACACAGGCACACGTTAACACGTAACTCTAGCTCTGCTGTGCTATGTAGGTCTGGACACCTAGTGATCGTAGTTAGGTACGCACTGCGACATAGAGCAGATATCGCGCCTATTTAACACGTACCAAGCAACACAGGCACACGTTAACACGTAACTCTAGCTCGGCTGTGTTACGTAGATCTAGACACCTAGTGATCGTAGTTAGGTACGCACTGTGACGTAGAGCCGATATCGCGCCTTAACACGTACCAAGCAACACAGGCACACGTTAACACGTAACTCTATCTCGGCTGTGTTATGTAGGTCTGGACGCCAATTAAGAGAGTCTGATTTAATTGCTGATACAAAGCTTTAATAACAGTCCGCCGAAGACACGTGGCCTTCTAATGGGTTGACGTTTGATCGAACGTGACTAGTTGTCGAGGCCCAAGGCTCCTGCACCTGATGAGTCCTGCGTCCTGATCCTCATCTGATCCTGATTCTGCGCAGCTTGCACTAGAAAAGCGACCTATTGGTCTTCCGCTTTCCGATCTTTTAGTACACGTAATGTTGCTGACCAATGTCATAACTAGGTGCTTTAGGGATCCACAAAGTGTTTTGTACTCTATGACAGCTATCTATTCCTTCCGCATACTCATACGTATACGATGACATCTAAGTTAACCGAAAATCACAAAATCGCCAATCAGAACTGTATATGGTTACAGTAAATATTTAGAACATTGTATCTAGAGGTTCCTCACAATGGATTGACTGAACCATTATTTTTACCATTCCCTCAAACTCTCCAAACTATTCTCCACGACTGTCGCAACTCCAACGGACAACCATTTCCATTTTTCTCGGAATAATTATCCGCAACCGCCACACGCCACCATACACCATACAGGTATTATTAGCTATCGCGCCCGCACCCGCGATACATAAGATAGAACTTTTCAACTAATTAAAGTAGGAAAGTTTGATCGGACAAGCCCGTGGTCTAGACCCCCTCTCCCCCTCACCCCCTGGCTACAACCGGTCAGGGAGAGTAATGGCGGATCAAATGTCTCGACTGGCAGGTTCTCAATTAACCGACCGGCCCAGTTCTCCGCGGATAATCCAAAAACTGCACTCGATGTAAGATGTGAGCCCCGTTGTCTTATAACGAGTGCGGCGTAGGTGAAACTGTGCAGTTCAGTGCATCAGTGATCAGTTCAAACATTTACTACAAAAATAAGGTAAATCCCGTCTCCATGCCTCACGAATTTGACGTCGTATTAACTTTCATTGGTTTAGATCAAACAATGTTGAAAGAAAAGATTAACTTGGGCTCTACAATGTATAGTTTACGGAGCTATAATCGAGATTGTTTTTGTGTTAACTATAGTAGAGCCTACTCCTTACAACTATAATATCACTAAGACCATATTAAAGTAAAGAAGTTCTATTGTATCGTACCCACTTTGCAACGAATGTAACTATTAGGCGGAATTAATTAAAAACGCGAAAGCTACCAACACGAGATTATTAGCTTTTATGACTTAACAAGGTTTAATTTGTATAAACACATTTTATTAGGTTTTAATCTCGATTTTATGCGATGGCATTTACCATGTAAGTCAAAACGCAAGTAATACACGTTGTCCTAGCTGGACCATATATGGATATATGCGGGCAACTTCTTAATTAACCTTTATAACTGTTCAGTTAGAATAGACTTATTTACGCAAAATAACGTATATTGATTATACTTTGGAGCAAATTTACTTAAATTCATTTACTTTGTATGGTAAAAATTATTTTTCATACAACCAAAAACACTAAAAAAATTTTCAAAAAATGTTATATAAAATTTTTAAAGGAGTAAGAAAAACGTTAAATAGTTGTTACAACACTCGCTGATAATGCTTCTAAAACTATTTTTTAGAAGTACTTCATAAACGAACTAGTAGAACTGCGAGAAAATATATCTCTGTGTTACTAATGTTAAATAGGTTTTGTAGCTGAACATAACTTCTTCAGTTACCTTTACCAGCACGATTCTTTTGCTCACGCTTTGCATTTCTTTTCTATACACTATCCCGATCAACAAACAAACTATACGTTCTAAAGAACAATCAAAATAATATCTTACCGTGGGGCACATCTTGCACTGGTACTTCCTGCCGGAGCCGTTGTGGGTGACCACGTGGTGCTGGTCAGGGCCCTTGGCAGCCAGGGGGTGAGGGACGATGAGGGTCGCTGCCCCGTGGGGAGGCGAGGCCGAGGAACTGCTGGAACTGTGGGAGCGGGCGGCGCCTCCATACAACCCTCCCAGGCCTCCAGGAGGATCCATCCGTCCATCGTCCACCCCTGCAACACGGGTTGGTGAAAATGAGACTTGGAGGTTGTTGGGAAGTTGTGGAGTTTGGAACGGATTATTGTAATATAAACTTCGAGGTCACAACAGTTTGCAACGATAATGAAAAGAGAGTGTGCTTCCAATTCTATAAGGTTGTTGGAGTTACAATCATATTAATGTATGGAAGGGAAGGCAACTCATGATGTAGTTATGTATACTAGTTACAGCATACAAAAAAAAATTGTCGATGAATAATATATAATATATGTACCGAAAGCTAAATGAATCAGACACGTAATGGATGCTACTTTTAAAGATTGACGTTTGAGGAACTAATGTTTGCACTAAAGTTGTTGGGTAAACTACTGGAATTTGTTTCTAACTCTTAATTCCTCAATAAAGTATATTTAAATACACTAAACACAGTTAAACCTTAGTTTGGGGCTCTCAAAAACCCAGTATGACGTAATTTTTGCTGGTACCTAAGACTGTGGTTATATGTTTTAAAGAATAGTAAGGGAAAACGTTTTTTACTCATACATTTTTTTTTATCAGGGGATGGCTTGATTAGAACGGTAACCCCAAGAAATCTGACACCCTAACCATTAGACTACAAATTGTAACATTTAAAATGTCTTTATAACCTTCAAACGTTTTACGCAAATTGATATGCAAAATTAACTCTGCCTTTTATTCGTGTTAATCTTTTTCACTAACGAAAATATTTTAGAACTCAAATAGCTCAAAAATACATTCGCAGCTAAAACCTCCGCATGATAGTGTGCTAATCTACACCTCATTACTATTACAGTTCAACATAACATTTACTGATGTAGTTTCTCTTTGAGTCGGTGAGGTTAGTCGTAAACGACAAAGTAGAAGTTGTTACACGATCAATAAAAGTTGAATCGATGACTGGAACCGTTCATAGATCAGGTTTGACTTCTCACTTTGCCTTAACAGAACACTACTTCAACAGCTGTGATTATCTAATGTCGAGAAGTTGACTAGATAGGCGAGTGTGAACGATACTCAGCTTAGAAAGGAACAATAAAATCTATGGTTAAAGACACATTTGTATCCTGAATTGGCTAACAAGCTATAGAATGTTCAGTAGTTACTTTAATACGATTCCCAGGCTATTAGTCTGATGTAATTGTATAGTCTAGTTTAATCAACTCAAAAATGTGAGTTTTTCTTTGAAGGTATGGAAATGGAAATTTGTCATTCTAGCTTATGAACTGAGTAGATCTAATAGTATATTTCGTACCTAGGACCAAACATGAGGTTTTGCCGGCTCGAGATCATTTAAACTATTTGGAATTTGACCTATGAGCTGGCATACGGGCTATTAATAAACAGCTGTGTCTAAGGAATATGTCGGCCTTAGTCGCTAACAAGATTACAAGATCGCGCCACTCATCCTACACTCATCTCCATTCATACTTGGCTTAAAATACCTACTTTGTATGGTCGCCATTTCATTAAAAAGTGTTAAAGTATCTCTTTATTGGCTTACAAAAAAACAGCACCGAACAGAAATAAAGCCATGCTACACTCATTCCTTACTTTCATTTTTACATAGGCATACACAACATTATGTAATTGTCTTAATCAAAATTATTAAAATGATAAAAAAAAACTCCAACAAGTATTAATGTGTAAATAACATAAAGGGAGTATGTTTTATCTATGATATTATTTAACAAGATCAAAGTTAAATTAATGTATCTTGGTTTGTTTAGTTTATTATGTTCACACCTAAATTTCAGAACACAGTAATGGATGGTTTGAATATATTTTTACTAAAGAAGCATAACCGTACCATAGTCCAATTCCGTTTGGGACTCTGATTATCCAATAATAAGTCACCAAACGTCCATGAAACCAACAAAAACACATAATATTTGACAACACTAAATTTTCAAATCCACAACTCATGACACCGAATTTGTATTATTCTGACAGTGTCAAACTCCAAAACCGCTGTGTCATTAGTTTTGCAACAGCCACCTACTCGGGTTACAGTAACATTAACATGCACTAATTTGTAACTAATACTCTACAAGTGTGTCAGAGTGTCTAAGGCTGGGCGCGCCTAATGATTCTGATGCTCATGACACTATTGACTGACATGACACACTGATTGATATTCTAATTCAATCAGTCATGCAAAGAACCTTTAGTTTTAACCTATCATTGGTTTTAAGGGGAAAGAAACGACCTTTACATTTGGTGACTAATGTTTTTCTTTTTCAAAAAGTAGGTCACAGAACTTATTGAGGTAATAAATTAAATGTGTATGTGTATGTGTATTTGTTTGAGATGTCTTGTAAAAGTCTCTATTATTCTATTATGAGATTGATTTATGAAAATTTTCTTTATTGTGTTAAGATTCAATTATAAACTGTTATTATTCAATTTATTAGTTATGTATAAATAGATGTACATTTATTTAGTCACCAAATTCTATGCAACATTTTTCTTAAATCACTGTAGTCTACTATTTTTTTTCTTTTGCTCAAAAATTTAAATTTGTTTCATCTCTGCTTAAAAAAACCTAATGCGTGTAGTTGGCATTTGAATGAATGATTGGTATTGAAAATTGCTTGCTTTCAAGACAAAAAAATCGTTACGCTAAAATAGCTATATGTTCTGTTTCTGTTTTAAATGTTTTTATTGTAATGTAGGTATATTGTAATAATTTGTTATAATCTAAAACATTTTAAACAAGAATTTCTTAATTATAATTACCAGATTTTACCCACGGTCTTCACCCTGTTTGACTTCATAAGTATTAATAAAACTATTGATTGGTTAAGTTAAGCTAAAATAAACAAAACAGAATACAGTAATACACAAACAATCACACCTGATAAGGTAATTAATTGAATGAATAACAAACAAATAAGTACATCTGAGGTATTTTTTACATTAGGTATATGGAAAGTTCCCTTTAGAAAGGAATTACGACCTTAAAGGGTAATTTATGAAATAATGAATAGTTTTGCGCAAGGTTTCTCGTCGTGACGAAATTTTTAAGTACGTGGTTTATGGGGGTGTGACTTGTAGCTTTCTCAAATGTTCATGGGTACTATGGGATTTATATATGGATAACCAAAAACTGCCTTTAGTGATTGCATATTTAGCATATATTGTGACATGTATCGTTGCATTTGCATATATGTTTACTGCATGTGTATGTTTACTTAGCGAACATTGTTTCCAACTCTCATCGTATTGCGGTTTTATGGTTCTCAAGAATCAAGAATCAAGAATCAAGAATTTTTATTTCCATAAAATGTGGTTACATTGCTGGAAAACGTCAGTCAATGTCTTTTTCTTCTGACCCATATTTAGATGGGCAAATTAGCATCCAGCGAGCCAACGTAGGAAATTAATTTTCCACACATTAATGTGCAATTCCTCCAAATAGTACAATTGACTCGCCCAAAAGAAACTCAGATAAACAAAACAACCAGCAGTTATGCTATTGAGTCCTAACACGCAAATGCGAAGAAGATCAATTACATTTGAACATTTACATAATTGTATTGTTGGCAGGAAATACATAAAACGCCAAATGCTCCATGTAGTAGCGAATTCAACATGCGAATTCAGTGGCAAGCCTGTAATTGAAGGAATGCCTTGTAATTATTGCGTAAGTATGATCCCTGAATATTCAGGATCTTTCAGGAAAGGTCTTTGCTGACTCTTAGCTCGATCGAAAACAGACATAACCAAATTTATGCCATTAAAACATAATGTGTTAAGTTGCGACTGACCATTATTTAATCAATTCGTAGCAGGACTTTTGGCTGGCATTTGACATTTTATTTTCGGTTTCACCATTGAAGGATTTCTGTATAGTGGAGCGTATACGTGTTCCCACCTGAATTAAAAAAGGTTAATTATGGAGGTGGGCAAATTAGTTTCCAAATCATAGATTATACAATAAATTCCCTTGTAGATTTGTCATCCTTATGGATAACTTAAACAGTGCTAAAGAGTGATTTCGTCTAGAAAGTAGGGTAGTTTTTACGTTCATTTACTCATTTATATTTTTATTTAAAAGCGTCTAAATTATTTTAACTAAATAAAACTATAGATATTTTCAACCTTTATGGGCCACAAATGGTTTTACTGCTCTGAAAGTAAAATTAAACGTTAAGGACTCTATATATCAATTTAACATTTCTTAAATGGAACTGCCAAAACTATATATTAGTGTTATTAGTATATGATTTCGGCCAGTAACGTCATTTGATTATGTTAATGGTACATACAGCTTTCTTATATTCTTGGTTTTAACTATAGTCAATATCAAAATGCCCACACGGCCAGTACAATATGCAACGTAATCTATTTCAATATTGATTCTTTAACAGCCGGTCCAACCATATACAGCTGAGTAATCTGTCTTTAAGATTATTGTGAATTTATTTAGAGAAACAGTTTATTAGTTCTCAAAATTATAAGGTGGAGTTTTTAATTTTCAATCATGATCGATTTTGAAATAATTGCTAAGCGAATTTTCTACTTACTAAAATTGAAAGGGACTTCTAGCAGTAACATGAAAAATATCCGTATGGTCACGTGGTGCAGTTAGTGCTGCCAACCTAAACTTGCCATCGCGGAAAATGAACAGAATGCTTCAGTATCAAAAGTTTAACAAAAACACCACACTAATAAAAACACACGTAAAAAATAAACACGCAGTATACACACATGTGACGCATACAAGTAACAGACGCGTACTGAGCTGGCGTGGAGTCCAGCGAGAAATTAAAACGTAAACAGTATTAATAGAGATAAAAAAGAACAATGAAATACGGCGAGAGAAAAAGTAATTGACTAAAGCGATTGCTATTGGTCAGCGTCCGGCGTTTGTTTTTGTTGGAGCAGAGAGAAAAACCGAGAGAAAGAGGGAGGGGGTGGAATGAAAAGAGACAGAGGTTCGTTTGAATAAAGTGTTTAGTGGTTCGGGATGAAAGTAAAGAGCCGAATTTGA